CCTCACAAAAAACAAACAACAACTAGGACCAAGAAAAGGACAGGAAGAGGAAGAAAAAAAGGAGAAAAAAAATCCGATTGCTAGAGACCAGGAAGGAGGTCAAAGGAGACAATTTTAGAGAAGAAAATTTTTCCGTCGCAACCCGGATTCGAACCCGGAACCTTTGAATGAGAATCCAACACGCTAACTTCTAGGCCACGAGAGCCCGTCTCCAGTAGCACATGCCTTATTTTTAAAAACAATTTTTTTTACCAACCTTCTCCACTACATGTATTCATTTTTAAAATAATACTTTTATTTTACCAACCGTCTCCCATTAGATGTCTTATTTTTTAAAATAATATCCCCCCCCCCTCTCCCCCCTCCCCAACCATTTCCACTAGATGCCTTATTTTTTCCAGATAATAATTCTTTTCTACCAACCGTCTCCACTAGATACCTCATTAAATTTTTAAAAATTGTTTTTAACCAACAGTCTACAATATAATTATGTCTTGGGAAAAAACAACCCAACTTTCTTTTCTACCAACCGTCTCCACTGGATGCCTCATTTTAAAACCATCTCCGCCAGATGTATTAATTTTTTAAGTAATGTTGCTTTTTTTTGTCAACCGTCTCCACTAGATGCCTTATTAAAAAAAAATTTTTTTTACCAACCATCTCCACTATATATGCCTCATTTTTAAAGAAAATATTCTTTTTAGCAACAGTCTATAACAATAGATGCCTTCAAAAATATATCTTATTTACCAACAGTCTCCACTAGATAGATCTACCTTATTTTTAAAAAATATTTTTTTTTGTACTAATCGTCTCCACTAGATCTAGATGCCTCATTTTCTAAAATACTATCTTTTTTTCACCAACTGTCTCTTATAGATGCCTTTAAAACATTAATTACAACATTCTTGTACTATGGAACAAATCGGGATTTCTCAATTATTTTGTCTTTTAAAAAAGAGAGAAAAAAAGGATTTAGGTCGTTTATGAAGCAAGGCTATGACTTGTAAGTAAGTTTATTCAGTGTTTAAGGCCACTGGCCCACATCACATCATATAAAGCACTCATTTGATAAGCTATGACTTGTGTGCTCACCAGAAACAACCTTGAGACAAAACGATGTCGCGCTCCCACCTGGGCTCACAGCTCACGTGCACAGTCACAGCGTGTTGGATCTGTGAGTACACCTACTTGTTCATTCATTTTTTGGTTGTCCTAAGTAAGTTTTAAATTTTGCATCCTTCAGACATGAAAGTACGGAAAGCTGTTCACAGCAGAAATGACTAGACCATTTAATCTGTTTATAGTTAATTTAGTTAAGTCTACTAGTTACTATCAAAGTGAATTATTGCTATCAATGTGTATCATTGCTGCTACTGTTTGTCGTTAGTATTGTTATGATGAAGATGATGATGATGATGATGATGATGATGATGATGATGATGATGATGATGATGATGATGGTGATGATGATGATGATGATCCCACACCTTCCTAGCGTCACTAGCGCTTGGTTCTTGGGTGGACGTGTCTCTTCCTTCTGTTCAGTCAAGTAGGGTCATTCATTTCGCTGACCACTCACTGTAACACCGTATCTGGTGCTGACTTCCTATATATAGCATTTATCGGAATGAGTCGGGCTATCCAGGTTTTTCCTTCAGGGATACGGCACAATTTCATTCATTGGATTGGAACCCACAGGGCAAGAGATCAAGGGAAAGACCTCGTGGAACTTGGAGAAGAATCACAGAAATCAATGTACAGAAAAGTGGGAAGACATGGAATAACATCAAGAGGCTAGCCCAGGATAGAGAAAAGTGGGGGGTGTTTGTCCGTGGCCTATACCCTGGTGCAGGGTGAGAAAGGCAATGATGATGATGATGATGATGATGATGAT